AGCTCTTTGTCTCCACATTGCTGTGCGAGACGCGCCAGCCTGATGCCCTTCTCCCGCCGGTTGCTACAACGGGCCTACCGCGTGCCCTCTACGATACCGCAGGCTTTGCTAAGCCCGACCCGGAGGATGGCCTTCCGGCTAAAGAGGACTCCGACCTGATTGCTGAGCTTCGGAGCCAAAGCTGTGCTGCTTCTACCCCCAAGGCCCCTAATGCCTCGTGGGAGGCCAGGGTGGCTGCACTGCTGAACGCCGTGGAAGTCCCGCCTAGTCGGTTGTTGCCTGGTGTCCATGCCATTTCCAGCAACTGCGCTCCGCCTGAAGATGAGGATGATTTCCAGGAGCAGCACGACGTCCTCCGTCGCTATCAGGCCAAGGGCAGGCAGCACACGGACGTCGAAGGCCCTGCAAGCGCGGCTGCGCTGTCCCAACTACTCCCCGAACGGATGGACTGCCTTTCCCTTCTTTCGCTGCCCCTCTCCCTGCCGGCGTGCGAAGTTAAGGTCAGCCCTCAGAACTTCGGAGCCCGTGTGGTTGATTTTGCGGATCGTGCGCTAATATGCTTCGTCACTGTTCGGAAAGCGAAGCTTTCCGCGTGTGCCTCACTCCCCTGCTTGCAGTCTCCATTGCGCTAGCGCAGTTCTGCGACCCCGTGTTGCGGTTGCCCGAAGGCCGCGTTTTCGACCTTTCGTGGTATGAGTTGGCGCGCCCGGAGATCTGGTGGTGGTTCCTCTTGGACGAGCTTGCGGGTCTGAAGTTCTCGGTCCCCAGTGCTAAGGCAGGCCACAAGTCGCCCGTACGCGATGGCAGCCTAATCCAAATGTCTCTTGCACCCAAGCGACCTCCCTTACCCACGGGCAAGCGCCGCGGCACGGGATCAGGCGCCCGGCGCGCAACCGGGGGGGAAGGAGGCTCGAGCGTGGACCCGAATCAGGGCACGCCATTGCTTCATTGTGGTGTGCTGCTGCCGGTGCAGCTGGTGTTCTACCTTGCACGGGCCCCAGTGGATGAGCCTGCAGCAGCTCCCTTGCTGCAACTCGTGCGCATCTCCCCAGTCCGTCAGAATGACCAGAGTTTGCTAGAGGTACGGGTTGGGGTGGAGGTACCTGCCTCCCTGGTTGGGCGGCCACAAATCGCTATTGCCGCACGGCTGATGGATGGCTTTCACCGTGGGCTCCTCCCTGCCAGGCGGGGTGACTTCGACCCCCAGATGTTCTCTTATCCGGGCGTGTGCAAAGGCACTTTTCGACTCTTGCTCCCGCTGGACGATGTCCCACTGGGTCTGCAAGCGCAGCCGTCGCTTCCCATCCAGTCCGCTGGTCTTCTACACGCGGCCCTGTGGCGCCTTCGGGCGGCTGCTACCTCCTCCGGCTGGGATCTTTCCGCGGTGGTTGTGTACTGGCTGAGAGGTCCTCAGAAAAAGGACTTCTATTTCCCGGCGCGCCTGTGGCGCCACGCGTTTTTCGATGCGTGGGATACGAGGGCCAAGGTTCTCATCCACCAATTGGTGGCCCAGGAGTCGAACGATAAAACCATGACCGATGGAAGCCGCGCACGGTTTCGGCTAGGTGGCCCCTGGGGCCAGGAACGCTGGAGAGACGAAGCGCGGGCCTTCAGCGAACGGGGAGGACTTGGCCCAGGCATTCAAATCCCGTTTATCTCTACTGAGCTCATGCCTCATCTCCATGAGGCCGATCAAGATACACTCTGTTATGGCTTTCGCCGCCTCCAAGAGCTGTGTGCGCAGCGCAATTACCAACTGCTGTATCTGTTGCGGGAATCCCACTTTCCGACCAGCGGCACTGACATGCAGCGCCAGCTAGATGCTTGGCCGCCGCCTGCGACACTGGAACGTGGCCGGTGACGGCGTGGGAAGCATTCCAACAACCAGAGTCCTATGACCATCGACGTACGTCGTAGGGTCCATCTTTCGACTCTTCCGCCGGTCATGGACTCTTCTGTGGACTTGTGGACTTTGTGTGCACGATCGAGAAACAACAGGACCCCGGGGCTGACCGTTGTTCGACGGAACTAGAACGGCGGCCGGAGCTCCGACTTGGGTTCCACCGGTGGTCTTGGACAGCTCTAGGCGACGGCCTTTGCTGTTGTGGATCGGTCGCTGAGGCCCGGTAGCTCATGCTGAACGGCCAACACCGGCAAAGCCTGTGCGCCGCAGCTAGCTTTTTTGCCTTCTTATCGAGCCGCCCTGTTTCACCGCTGTCTTTGGTTCTTGTTTGTTGGTTTGTCTTGTTTGTAGGGACCGAGTGCTACAGCCGTAGTCGACGAGGCCCGCTCAAGCCAAAAAAAACTCAGCAAGGTGACAGCACGTTGATACTCTGCAAACTGCTGTCGAAGAGGCCGCCGGTCCTGCTTCTGCGAACCAATGGCGCAAAGCTCAGGCAACGTGGCGTGAAGAGAAGCAAGCCTTTTATGATATCTTCCATCACACCGCTCATGCCGGATGCTGCGTCTGCTTTCCGTGTGGAAGTTTGGAAGACATGACCCAGACTGCGCATTTCGCCGGCAGCTGGATGCCAGGTGATGTGCGATATGCCACCGCTCACCAGCACCCCAGGCGTTCAGCGGCACCGCGCAGCAGTTGCCGGTGCAGGCCATGGTTCCGGCTTGCCACAGCAATCTCTGTGGGGACGATCATGCGCATCTCAGCTCACTTGCGCAAGCACGTCGGTCCTTCACTGTGACCAGTCTTGAAGAAGCCTTGGATTTGGATCACATACACAATGCGTTTCGATGGCTACCGGATCGCCACGAATTCCAATTGATCGTGCCACTTTGGATCTCAAAGTACGCATCACTATTATTCAAATCGATCTTGATGCTTCTGGTTCTTGCATCTCGGTGTCGCGCCTTGTTTATCGGGCCGTCATCGTGCCCTTCGCACTAACGCCATTCAGTCGGCATCAATTCACGCGCAGCCCTGGGCAAAAGGTGGCCTGGATTGATGAGACTGCTTGCTTTGCCATGGCACCGCTGGACGGGCTTCCACTTACGCGCGTACGACCTCCGACACCGATTTGCATTCCATTGGCTTGCCTTTCATTGATTCCAACCAGGCGCCTCATGGTCAGAAAATTGCGCCGCCCTTGCGAGACTTGCCTTGGTGGGAGTGGGCCTGAAATTCATTGTCAGCACCGCTTC